TTTAGCAACTGTTGACAAACAAAATAGTTCCATTAGTGCACAGAAGCAAGAACTATTGAAGGAAGTCTTTATTGTTTGATTTGATCTGGCTACACCCACCTGGGCATTACTGTCTTTTTTTTCACTTGTCTCATGGGATTATGTACAGCAGGGGTGCCCAAACTGTTCCACAAAGGGCCGCTGTGGCTGCAGGTTTTTGTTCCAACCAAGCAGTAGCACACCTGAGTTGACAGGTTTAATCAACTGGTCTCAGTCTTCAGACAGCTGATTGGTCAAACTAACTAAGCTTGATTGGTTGGAACAAAAACCTGCAGCCACACAGCCCTTTGAGGAACAGTTCGGGCATGCCTGGTGTACAGGAACCGTGTCACCATTCATCAGTGTCGAGACAAACTTCAGAACAGAACAGGTTGCTGTGACTGTGAATTCCAGTTAGACTGCCTCTGAAAGGCATTTCACCCCAACCCCTGGCCTTTGACCTCTGAAAGGGCTGCTAAAAACAAAAAATGAATTACTGACTTCAGCAGTCAAAGTTCTCGGCTGTAAAAACTAGCAAACACTACTTTTAATGAGTCAACTGTTGCCCAGGTTAAGCTTCTGTCTGTAAGGTGAGTCCTGACAAATGAAAATATAGTTAATATTTGTTTAGTTATTTTACAAGGTTGACAAAAGTGAGTTTGAGTTTCTCTGAGTTTCACAGATGACGCAGTTTGATGTGACACCGAAGTGCTGCTCTGCTGTACTGCTATATGCATTGCATTTGAAGCCGTTTATGTGGTTGGATTTGTACTTTGTAGTTTTGGCCGAAGGAACAGGTTTCTATGTGGGACATTTTCTTCTGCTAAGTCCCAGGTGGTCAAGAGGATTCAGGGATTTAGAGATTTGCTTTGTAGAATTCCCTGTTTTTGAAAACAAGTGCAATTGCATAAGCCTAATAAAACACGCCTTGTTATTTTATTAAAAAGCTGAAGTGCCTCCAAGAGTATTTCTAAACAGAATCTCTTCTTATGTTTTTGGAAACCTCACAGAATTATGTCCAGTAAAATTACAGTATTGCATTTTGCATTTGGTGGTTTATTCTGAGGGAGCATCCTCCAGCTCCATACTTATCTACAATGTATCTCCAAGCAGCTCAGCGACAAAGAGCATCTCTGCCAAAGTAAAAATAGACTGAGGAAAAAAACAGATGAGGGCGGCCAGAGATGGTGGCGTCCTTGTTTTGCTGGTGGTGATGTCGGAGCTACACTGAAGTACAGATATGACAACCAGCTCTTGTCACGTGGCGTAACATGCCCCCCCCCCACACACACACACAAAAACACTGTAGAGAGAGAGACTTGTTTTCAACTCCACAGGGATTTACCTACTTTCCTCTTGGTGCTAAAGGTCACATGGCTTGCAGCAATGGACCGTACGTGTAAACATTTTTTAAAACTTTAATAAACAAACAGACACAAAAATGTATGACGATGAGCAGATACAGTGGTGATGATACGTTTCACAGTTAAAGTGCCGTGAACCTAAGAACAGCCTTTCTTATTTAAACAAACTCTGATGAAGCCACAGTCAGACTGTGGTGGTGTCTGTGGTCAACACTGAAGGCAGCTGGTGCTCCTAATAGGCCTTATAACTGGGTTGCCCTCAGCTGCAGCCTTGCATGTATCCGACGCACTCATTTGCAATGGAAAATGCAAATCTGATTGGACTGTCTGCTGGCAGAGGACGACAGGACTGCAGGCGAGGTGTCCGACTGACACCGTTGTCACCCGTTCTCACCTCCTCACTCTCACCTGCTCTCTGTTTACATTAATATACAGTTAGTTAACGCGGAGACTCAGAGGCAGCAGAATATTTATGAAGCCAGGCTTTAGGTTACATTCTATGTTCATCACTTCTATATAAAGAATTTGTGCTTCTTTTATTGTTTTATTGTGGTCACCACTCACTGCTTGTTTTTTAGACTTATAATTCGGAATATAATGTGTGGTAGAAAGTGGTCTGGACCTGTGTATTTTTCTACTTTTGGTAACCAATAGATAAACTTAAAAACAGTTTTTTAAGCTTAATGAGAAACATGTAGAAAAGATAACTGTTGGTGCCGAAAATTACGTTATTCAGTCACCACTATTGTCATCTAACTGCCACAGATAGAATGAACCACACCTGACAACGTTGTACTTTTTACTCGCTGCGAGGGGGAGCAGAGAAAGCAACAGCTTCGCAGAGCTGGCTCACCTAAGTCCCAAAGTGTATGAGGACTGCAGCTCCTTTTATTGAGAAAGTTTCACAAGTACTGGGCATGTGTATTTTGCGTTACGTTTTACTCTTAGGGCAGAGTTCATCCGATTCCCATACTTGATGAGAAACAGACCTCATCCTTTATGGACCTACATCATAAAAACCTTTTAGGAGTACCTACTCCTATCAAGCAGACCATTATTTAACACATTATGGTTTATGGTTTAACACACTTTGGTTTAACACACTTTGGTAACTAACTATAAATTCTATTTACAATAACATTTTAACTTTTTTTTTCCAAAGATTTTCATCACAGTTTTTCTGACCAAAAATTATGGTTTTGGCGAAAATGTTCCAAAAAATTTTTCTCCAGAAATTTTTTTCAAAATGCTATATTTTGTTAAGAAACATGCATAATAGATAGAATTGTGATTTTTTTTTTCCAAAAAATTTGGAAACATCTGACCAAAAATTATGGTTTTGCTGAAAAATTAAAAAAGAAATTCCCAAAAAATTTTCAAAATGCTAAATTTTGATGAGAAACATGCAGAAAAGGTAAAAATTTGAATTTTTTGAATTCTGTTGACAGAAAAAAAATACCAGTGGAGTGACACGAGGACTTACTGAGGCGGGAACTGAGCCCACAACCCTCCATTTGCACCATGTGCTGACACACATCACCCACCCGAGGCACGCAGTAATAACATTTTGGTGACGATTGCCACATCACTTCAGATCACAGTGACATGGTTTATCTGTTGTTTGTAAATCCACAGATCTGTTATTTCTTCACGTTTTCAAATGGAAATAAAAGTATTTACAGAAAGAAAATCGACCCAGTAATTGGCAGTATTTCAAGACAAAGGAAACAAAATCAGTCCGGTTCTGCTTCCGAAAACGCATTTTATCATGATTTGAGCCAAGGATGTTGGCGTGAGCTTTTGAACTTTGAACTGCAATAAGACGCAATACCCAGATCGGCCACATCACTGCCACGGCCGGGAAATGTTCAGAGCTGTACAGACAGGATAGACTGATATTTCAAGTCATTGGTGAGGCCGACCCCGTTCTCTGCACAGATCTACATGACATGGACATGGCTGTAATTTAGAGGGAATGGAAACAAACCAGTATTTGTTTGTTAGAAAACCTCCACAGGGTGTGTCAGTGTGTGCTTTACAGCATGAACCAAATCTGAACTCAAAGGGATGTTTTGGTGTGTGTGTGTGTGTGTGTGTATAGCTATAGTGTGGGGACATTTTTAAAAAAAAAACATTAGTGTTGTGGGGACATTTGTTCTTGTAGGTATAAATTGCAGTTCTCCACTAAATGAGAGTGTGTTTCAAGGCTCAGTTAGTTAAATTTTTTTTTTCATATATATTTTCATAAATAAAAATACTATTTTGACATTTTCTTGGTCTCCTGGATTTTACTTGAAGTTTTCTTAATATTTGCTTTACAGAGAATTTTCCTCAAACAACAAAAGATGGAGGATACAAGGTTATTTCTTCTTAACAGTTTTCAGTTGTCCTTCAATTTGACATGACGATGAACGGCTTGTTATTTTCTTTGTGAGCTTCCTTTTATGGAGCTACCTCCAGCCATTTGAGTGTGGGAATGGCGCAGAGGTGGAGAAACAAGTCTTTTTTAAAAACACCTCAGGGCGTCATTCTTGTACACTGCAGATGGGTATAGGTTTTAGTGGTCAATTATGGTCAATTAGTCTGAGTTCTTTTTTTTTTCTCTCTTTCATATTTCAGTCATTTCAAGGGAGTCAAGGAAGAGCCTACCTGTTTAATTCAGTGTAAGTACCAGTCTTGCAACTTTAACTAACGTGGAACCTTTGTGGAGGTTTTGTAAACAAGACAAAGAATGACTCACGTTATAAACCTTGTATGTGTCGCATTTGAAAGAACGTTTTATTCTTTCTTCTAGTCTTGCAACTTAACGTGGAACCTTTGTGGAGGTTTTGTAAACAAGACACGGAATGACTCACGTTATAAACCTTGTTTATGTTGCATTTGAAAGAAAGTTTTATTCTTTCTTCTACCCTCAGCTGCTGCTGCTTTATTTTTAGTTTACTTAACACTTTACACAAGTTGAGAACTGCTTCCAAAAAGGTTCCACGTCCAAATTAAAAAATGTTAAATGCATTCACTCGAAATGTTGAAACAGTGGTTTAGAGTGAGGAGCAGTGTAAGTTCATATTTTCACCAAAGCCCAAGGATTTCAGCAGTTTTACAGCATAATTATTTTATACTGAATAACTAATTTGGTCTCTCAGATGGAAAAAAAAATCAAAAATCTTTATGTGGATGTTTTTCCACATAAAAGCAGCTACTTTTAAATGACAAAGCCTGTCCAGAGATTGTTTTGCAGTTTGATAATGAATTGATATATTTAAATTCAGGATTATGGCAAATGATTTTGTTGTGGATGCACCATAACTTTTATTTTTAAAAATTCATGACTTTTTCCAGAAGTTTTGCTTTTAAACAAAGGTTTACGTTCAATTTTTTCTGAATTTTAAACATCTAACATCTCAAAAAAAATTCCTAAAATTTTTCCAAAATGCTATATTTTGATAAGAAACATGCAGAAATTATTTTGTTTTATAAAAAAATTTCAAAATGATTTTGACAGTGTTGTGTTTAAGTCCATGCTGCAGAAAACTGCAGTCTGGGATCCTTTACTTCAAGCCCTGTAATGCTTTGCACTTTGTTTCTTGACTGGTCAGATTTTTTGTTTTGTTTCTTTAAGGCTCGACTCTTGGTTTTAATGAAGCTCACAGAAGTTTCTTCACCTCTAGAGGCTGTAGACATTTTCAGGTGTCACATAGCTACTGTTTCTTACCACTGCAGTCTGAATTACATTGTTCTCACCTGATAGAGTAAACTGAAAGAAAGCAGGCAGTAAAGGCAGACTAAATCATCTCAAAAATGCCCACTGTAAAAGCAGCCATAGGCTAGAGAGCAGTCAGTTACAGTGTTCGGAGCAAACAATTCAACGGCTTTTATATGAACCTTGGATGGATGGAAGAATGAATTAATTGGTCTTTGTTGTTACTTTAATTTAAATACCACTTAGCTAACCAACGGTGTTTTACTGGGAAGCTGAGCTAGTATTTAGCAAGAGAGAAAACACCAACACTGATGTCACTGACCACATAAGAATTACAGTTCCTCCCCTCGGTGCTCTTTAACAGCAAGACAGTATTGTGTTGCTATTTTGGGCAACTTAATTTATTCCAACATTTCCATGTGAAGGTTGTGGTGATTTTGAAATATGTCCTTGTTTTAGTTTAACATGAGCTCAGGATCAAATGTTAGAGTTGTCAGATTAGCTCCACATTTTAGCCTTGAAGAGGCAGAAAATTCAAGAGCTACAGTTTCTTGTTTTTAGCCTTCATGCTAACGGCTGTTTTCTTCCCCCCTGAGTACAGCTTCTTTGCGACTAACTACTTCATGGCTAACTCCTCAACAACTTATTATTAGGTCGTGTTGAAACTAGTCGATTTTTCCCTCTTGAAATTTGGTTGAACATGTGGCAAACTACAAGAACATGATCTATTCTGACTATGTAAAAACAAATCCAGAACAGCCATGTTGTTTTAGCTCCTGTTAGTTGTGGTTAGCTTACATGCTAATGGTAGAGGTTTTTGCTCTGTGCAACAACAACTTTATCAACTTAAATTAGATTACCAAAACAAACTTAACACATTAATGGTCAATTATTTATTGGTTATTGTTTATATCATGCTATTCTAGTTAATAGAATTTATAGCAATACAATAATTCAAGGAGAAATGTTTTACTACTAATGCTGGTCTCACTGTGATTTGAAATGTCTTTAATGACGACTCCAGCGCCTTCCCTACCTCTGGGACCTTTTCCTCAACCATCTGTCTTCCCCACAGGGTGAATGTCGGCTGCGGGCCAGCTGAGGAGCGGGTACTCCTCACAGGTTTACATGCTGTGGCTGATATCTACTGTGAAAACTGTAAAACCACTCTGGGCTGGAAATATGTAAGTTTCCTCTCCTCTGTTTGTACTTTCACTCGAGCACTTGTACACATTCTTACACCTGATTCCGCACTGCTGCACCACTAGTCGTTAGTTAGCCTCCGGAAGTACAAATTACAGAGTTATGGCTATAAAATAACTGAACAAAGTATAAGACGGGAATTTTTTTTTGTATTTACTGTGTATTGCAAAATTTGGTTCGGTACATTTAAATGTGAGGTCCTGTGAAAACCCCCAGATTTAGGAACATCCTCTTGGCTGATTACTGAGGAAATGTTTTCTATTTTTGCTCTGTTAATGCTGACTAATTGCTTCTGTCCGCCATTGTCATTGTTTTTAATTTATTTTAGCATATGTTGGCCTGTAACAGAGGGTTTTTATTTTCTCCTTCTCCGGTTCTTGTTTACAGGAGCACGCCTTCGAGAGCAGTCAGAAATACAAAGAGGGAAAGTTCATCATCGAGCTGGCTCACATGATCAAGGACAACGGCTGGGAGTGATGGAGTCACCATTCCACTTTCTCTTCATCTTCGAATGCTCTTTATTGAACTGTGTGGCGCAATGACTTTCCACCGCCCTGAACCCACCCCCTAACCCAACCCTACAACAGCCCTCTGAAAAATAGCCTCCACCCACTTGTCTCTTTCACGTGCACACTCATCGTGAAACTTAACTGATTAAAAACCCAACCAGGCATCGGAGCATCTCTTGAAGATGATTAAAAAAAAGAAAAACATACAGAAAAGGAGTGTCGTAGTTTACGTTGAAGATTGTGTGTGTTCTCCTTTGCAGCTCCAGTGCTTTTGGGTTCTAATTCCACCCACATACTCTCCCGAACCCGAGACTCCTTCACGCAAGAACCACGGATTTAGATGGTTGGGGTTTTTTTTGCTTGTCGTATCTTTGCCTTTAGCTGAGCATGCTTTTCTTAGCTAATGTCCAAATGAGTAATTAGGGACAACGGGGGAAAGAGGAGGAGGTGGAGGTAGACAAGAGGAGTATGTTGTAGTTACAAATATGTAGCAGCATCTTGCTTAATTTTAGGTGGCAATGAAAGTGATTGCAGTCGTGTTTTTATCTTTTTTATCTTTATTCCATTTGTGTGTAGTCATGAGATAAACGAGAGACACAATTTAACGCAAAGATATACAATGTACACACATTTGATGATGGTTGGATGGATGGTCTGTGTAGGTTCTCAGTCATCCAGGTTATTTAATCCAAAAAATAGTTACAGCAAAAGCAACTGGACAAAGTAGTTTTTTTTAAAAGACATTTCACCTCTCATTCATAAGGCTTCTTCAGTTCTGAGTGACTACTGGGAAATTCTGGTGTTCAGTCTTTAGGGGGCTACATACCTGTAATGAGGGTCGTTGCAAAAATCGGGGGATAGAGGTGTGGTGAAACCTGAGCGACACTTTTGCCTGGGTGTCCTTTGATATGAAATTGTGGTCTTGTTTTCAGGGAGAGGTTTGGAATTTTTTGGGGGAAGAACTCAGGACGGCATTATAGGTGGATGAAAGGTTGTGTCTCCTTTGAACAGGGTGTGTTTCACCACACCTCTATCCTACTTTGTCCAGTTGCTTTTGATGTAACTATTTTTTGGATATATTTGCCGTCATGCACATATGTGTACATGCATATATGCACCAGGTGTGGTCACGCATTATCACAGCAGCATACTTGAACAACGCTACACAGTTTGCACTTTGCAGAGGCCTTTGGTTCATCTCAGTTTAGAGGCAAACCTCTTCTGTTTGGTGACCTCACAGATGAGCGACAAATTGGTGGAGGCAGAGAGAAGGTTGGAACAGAACAATTGGAGGATTTTGTTGTTGTCATTAGGATCTTGCAGTGTTTAATGGCTTTTTTTGAACATTTGGTTTTAACTTTGTTTAATTTTTTTTTTTTTGCTTGATTGCTTTGCTTAAATAGCGTCCCATCATCCCATCCCATCAGCGATCCCATCATTTTCCCTCTCCTCTGGTAGGTCTTTTGCACTTTATGCTCCGTCTCACCTGCTCTCTAGGAATCTGTGACTCGTAGACTTTGTCTGTGATTTGCCTCAAAGCCACATGGATCTTGTGCCTCTTCAAAACATAAATGGTTCCCCTTTTTTTGTTTCTGTTGTGCAGTGCAGTGCATAACTCTGACACCCCCGAATACACACACACATACACTTACACTTCTACATGTACAAACACACCATTGTTGAAGCTGCCCCTAAACTACGGTTCTCCAGCCCAATCTTTACTTGTATTCATTTTCAGACAACGTAGTTGCTAAACTTAGACACTTATAAATATATATATATTTTTCTATGTTAAGATTTAGAGGTGTGAAAAACAGATGGATATTCACTATATTCTTTCTCAGAGTAAAGATTAAAAGCAAGGTAAAAACTTGGAGGGATGCCCCGGGGCTTTGTGTTAGAAAAAAAAAAGTTAGCGACAGGAGGGTGGGATGGAGGAGATTTAAAAAAATCAGCAGTGATTGATTACTTTGCCGGCAAGGTCAGTCATATCACACGACCTTTATCATGAAAACAATGACAATTCAAACCCTTAATATTCAGCAGTGATACCTACTTGAAAAATATATAAACAGCTAAGATATTGGCCCATGTTACAGGTTTTGTACATAAAGTAACATATTAAAGGTTTTATATGTATTTCTACTGGGTTAGTTCTGTTACTTCTCCAACTTGAAGCACTTTTGTGCGCGTGTGCAAGGGAGAGCGTGTGCGCGTGCATGTGTATTAGCTCACATGTATGCCAAAGTGAATGTTTAGTTCTGTTTTTTTTCTTCTGTCGGTTCTCTTTCTGTCTTTTTCTCTGTTGCTTTAGCTTGAAAGGTTTTTTTTTTTTTGTTTCTCGTGTTATTTCTCAGACGCCTGTTTTGTATTGTTCTCTCCAGTAACCTCTGAGTGGAGAACCAGGTTGGTCTGTTTGTGGAAGAGGTTAATCCCCAATGTCTATGAAGATTCTCAGTCATCCAGGTCATGGTCAAGTTTAAAAAGTTCTGTTAGGCAACTGGACGTGAATTTTCTAAAAGAAGACGTTTCACCTCTAATCCAAGAGGCTTCTTTAGTTCTAACTGCTGGTGGGGAGTACAGCAAATAAAGTTAATCCCCAATGTTTGCTTCTGTTTGTACATTTGTTTAGATTTGTATTTTGGCGAGAACCCGTTAGAGTGTCAGTGTTTATGTCTCTGCTGAGCCACGTAGATATTTGAGGGCGAGCTGGAATCTCCCACCATGTCACAGGGAGAGCCTTTACAAAAACCCTTTCTGCCACCACGCCCAGTGTCTCCTGTATAGAGAGAAGCCTTTCAGCATTTGTAAAATGCACCCTCTGGCTGCCACTTTGGAGGTCCTTCACTTCTGGCAACGCTGGCTATGATCATATGATTGTATTTCTGGACAACTTGTTCCGTTGTTTTTTCATGTTCTGACAAAAAAAACTGTATTTTGACTGGTTGTTTTAATCGAATTATCTATTATCTGCTGCTACATCCCCGTTGGGGGGCACGGCCCAAAACAAACACATTTCAATCGACAGAAGTTTGGTTTCCTCTTTCAAATGGAGCAGCGAAAGTATTGGCTTCTTACGTTTGAATTTGCACTCCTCTAACTGCCACAGTCACTTTTAACTTGATGGTTCACACCTCACAACCCAATCAACACATGTATAGAAACAATACTTTCCAACCTGCTGACGTATCACTGCTTAAACATTTAAGTGAATTCCATGTTCCTGTGATCATCAGTGGCTGGTAAACCCACGACATTTCATGACATATAACAATCAAACTCTCTGTCAGTGTAAGATGTAAAGGTGCTTGGAGGAAAATATTTTCATCTAAATTTGCGACAACTGTGACTCTTCAGCTTCAAAAGGCACCTAAAAACACTGTATCTTTCAGAGCTCGGAGACTCAGAACTGGAATGTAGCTTCTAGGATAAACTACTAATCTTGATGATGTATCTTTTCTACTTCTCCGGGCCAAACTAGGCTTGGGCCAAATGAAGAATACGGACGTGATTACACTTGTCTTGTTGGGTTTGTCCAGGTCCCTAGAACATTGTTTACGCAAGAGTTTTTTTTTTTTTTTGGTCGTCTTACATCATATTTCCCAGGAGTTTACAAATAATGTCTATTGACTTGGGTCGTGAAGGTTTGTGACTTTTAAAATATGGGTCCCCAGAAAATAAGTTTGGGAAACACTGCCCTAGAACATATACCATGGTATGCCCTATACCAACAAAACTGTTGAACTTCTAAGAATCCTACGGTGGTCTTCAATAAATGAATTCACGTACAGTTAACCTGATTATAAAACAACTCAGCTAACCACCTAACAAAAGTAAAAGTCTAAAAGACAAGAATTATGTATTAAATTTGAAAGACTTAATGATGATTTAGACCTGGACTAAATACAAGTCAATTGGACGCATTGCAACGCGTTACCACGCAGTAACCGTGGGCTCTCACATCTCAAATCATCTCTGAATAGTGGACATTTGTCCGACTTGATTCTCACACAGCCAGTTTCTCCAGAGGATCTCCAACATGGCACTTGTGACAACAACTGCAGAGCCTGCACTCTTGTTCAACAACCGACTACGTTAAACCTCCAAAAAGCAGTTGCCAGTGTCATATCAGTGTGAACCAAAGTTCTATGGAATGCACCAGTGTCATGTGATGGAGATGGCAGGAAAGAGTCAAACCAAAATCAGAGAAGAGAAATTCTGTCACCTGTGACCTTGTCTTTCTGTAGATTCCTCTGAACCTTACAGCATCAAAGCATCCAGGATGAAAGTGATAGACAATTGCTGCTGAATACAGTTTCCTTTTTATATATATATAGTTCTACTTGTTTTACTGTGACACTGGCTACTTATTTTTTGAACTCAGTTAATTTTGTGAAATTTTTACCTTAAAGGATTTCCATGGAAGGGAAGGATAGGTAAACAGGGGAAAAGACTGTACAAGTTTTAAGGACTGTTAAACCACAGTTTAAAGTCTAGAGCATGTTATATTTATATTGGCTCTTGTTGTGCCTGTTTTATTTTTAATTGTTTTTTTTTTCAAAAAATATTATATATGCTTTTAATTTGATTTCATTGCTTTGCATTCTGTATTAGTAAAGCCATGTCACGTCTGTTTTCACTCTAATGTAAAGTGTCAGATATCACAATAAATTTTCAATGGCATTAAAGTTTTCTGTATTCTGTTTTATAGAATTTTTGATGACAACTTTTTATTTTCATTGAAAAAATACATTTTGACTTTTTTTTTGCAGTTTTATATTGTTGACATTTTACTGAAGGTTGAGTTAATTTTTTTTTATTATTATACTAATATTAAATTATTGTTTTGAAGTAGCCACAATGGCGTCAAGTTTGCCACACTTTGAAAAACAAAGCACAAAAGCACTTGAAGTTGGATTGAAAATTTACCACGATGGTGAATATGCTATTAAATATTAAAGGCTTAGCAAAAACTGTCATAAAAAGATATTAATGCTTAAATGGTTTTACTTACTACAGCATAAAATTCACTGTCAGCCCTAAGACAGACTTCATTAGGTCAGACATGATGATGAGATTTTAAAATGAACAGACCTGCAGTTTAACAACAAAGCGTCATCACAACCATTATGATAAAACATGGGAGGATTAATACTTCTTTAAAAATACTGTTTTGTTATCAGACTACATACCTCAACTTCAACACAGCACTCAACCACTGCAGTAGCCCAGGGCTGAAAAAGAAACGTAAGAAAAATTAACCCTTGTAAAGTCCTTCGGGTCTAGGTGACCCCCGGGGCACCCAGACCCCGAGTCATATTGTGTGTGTGTGTGTGTGTGTATGCTTGCGTGAGTATGCGTGAGTGTGCATGTTCCTGTACTGCATGACTTGTGCCAATTTTTCCTCATATTCATTAATACTCATATTCTGGGACAAGATGAAAATCATTGCAAGGACAAACAGTGTGTACAAAAAGGACTGAAGGACTGCACAAGGGACAAGAAACAAGAAGCAGAAACAAAAAACAAAAAACAAATGGAAACATCACAGCTCCAACCACTGTTCTGTATTCAGCCAGTTCCTACGCTAGTGATGTTATATGCAAAGATCTGGAATCAACAACTATTTGCTTTGTCTTATGGGGTTAGCTTTTTTTGATTTAGCTTATTTTTATTAACCAAAATATCAAATTAAGCTACAACCTAAAACTTTGATAATTCAGGGAATTGGTTCTAGTTAACAATTTCACCTTAACCATGAAGTGAGCAGTGATTTTAATTACTGTCTTGGTGTAACACAATCAGAGTCTATTATTCTTCTTAGTCGAATCGTACAGAGGTTAGAAAAAGATGTGTTACCCACCACCTTCAAAACTGTGAGAAAGTCCACACAGAAGAAGTGTTCTCTCTCTGGAGTTACTTCAGAGAGCCTCAAAAAAGTCTGACCAGAGATTGACAACAAACGTCTGATGTAATATCAGCTTGTGTTTGTATATTACTTTACACAACAGCACAGATGTTATAGTTTCAATGAATGTTTTTGCACAGCAGAGGTTTTGTTCTGGATGCTAATTATTCCAAAGGCTAGCTGAAAAGACAAAACTAGAAAGAACAGGTCCTGAAATACAAAGCTAGTTTAAATGTATAAATTGTCATAGTAGTTCTATAGAAAGGTTTCTTTTAGCATGAATAATAACAGTTTACATATAATATCTGTACATTTTTGTAGTGTTAGTGTAAGATAATGTAAGCTAATGTACTGTAGCCACATTTAATGTTTGACAGCTTTGTGAAAAATGCTGTTTAAAAAAATATCTAAACTATCTAAACTATTTAAAACTAATAGTTAACTAAGTTGATATGGCTAATTTCTTTGAGCTCTTTCTGAAATAAGAACTTGCTTCAAACATTAGCTATGTTTGCTAAGGATTTTGCTAACATGGCCATTTCTGCTGTGACTTCTACTTTGGAAATTGCCCTCAATGAAACACAAACACATGTAAATATAAATTATTAAGCTGTCAGGTACATTTTTCCTGACTCGTCCTCATTTTTAAAAACCCATCTGTTGGTGTTTGTGCAGGTCAGATGGAGACAGCACAGCCACAGACATAAGGAAAGATCCGTCTCTGTGGATGCTTTTATCCAGACCACCCTGTGCTATTTTCACTGCATACATATTTCAGAGAGTCTGGCTCAGTGTGGATCAAATGTAACCTTTACTTTGTTAGGACCATACCCTGTATTGAGAGACCAGGGTGGAGGTGGTGTGGGGGGAGAGGGGGGATTTGTGATGGCTGCAGATGTAGTGGTATTGTCAGTTAATGTCAACACGTGGTTTTTCTCGTGGGCATAGTTCTCATGTCTGTTGACCTACTTCTGTGTATGTGTCTGTGAGTGTGTGTTACATACAAGGGGGTGTGGTGAGGTCTATATCTGTAAAGTCTGTCTGTGTTTTTCATTAGATGTGTCCAGCAGTAGACAGGAAGGTGACAAATAAGGATTAACATTAAGTGCACGGGTGAGAGGGTCAAACTGGTCGTGTGTGTTAGGGAATATATGATAAAACCTGACTCTGTAAAGATACAACGTTAAAGTAATATTATAATTACATATTTAAATATAAATATTTAGATTTCCATCCATTTTCATCGCTTATCTGTTAACGCACACTGCACAATACCAACCCCCCTGAACCTTTCTGCAGTCCACTGGAAGGTACCAACCGCCCTAACCGGGATTCAAACTTGCCCTGGAGGTAAACCCTGGGGTTCCACACCAATGACGAAGACATTGCCTCTGGGATAAAAACGCCATATATTTAGATTCCAAATATTAAAATAATTATTAGGACACAAATATTAGGGATGTCTGATATACTTTTTGCCAATATCCGATATTGTTCAAACACTTAATTTCAAATTCCGATATCAACCCATACCGATATAGGCTTAGTAATATTCAT